GGCAGAGCCGGATTTGTTTAGGTTCAGTGTGTAAACATCTCATGAAAGCTTAGGTACATGATAAGGTATGGCCTTTCAGTGATTGGTTGGTTCCATTTCCTCCCCTCCCACGCAGTCTTTTGCTTTAAAAAGGGGATGCTCCCTGTTAATAACCGAGCTCCTGCTTGACTTGACTCCCTGCTGCGTCTGATTGTCTCCTGGGCTAAGGGAGGCTGGTGAGCAGCCGCACTTACCTCTCCTCGGACCCCCTCCAAAGACGGACGAAGACCCAACAGTCCTTTATGTCTGCAGTAATCCAAAATTTGTATAACTATCTTGTGTATAGTCATCTTCTAGTCAAATATCATATATTTAAACTACATGACATTTTGTGGTCCTATAGTAAGCACAAACACATAAAATTAATTTTATTCAAACGAAGGCAAATTATCTACATTTTTTGGCCTTTTCTTCCTATGTTTTCTTCTTTTGTTAAGTAGGATAAGTTCTGAATGCCCCAAAGAGAAGTCCAGAGATGCAGCCAGACGTTGGCGAAGTTAAGAGTCTGAAGTATTTTACGAGCTTGCTCATCAGCTGCCACTTCCTCATAACATGAGCTCACATCTGGATAAGGCTTCTGTTATGAGGCTGACCATCAGCTACTTGCTTGTGAGAAAAGTTCCTCATGCTGATAAGTTCTCCTACAAGGGCATAATAGGCCTGTAATGATGGTTTTAAATCCAAGACGCAGCTCAGACACCAGATCTCCATGTGCTATTTAATTCCCTTTATTGCTTGCCTTGGTTCCATTCCAGGAAGGAGAAAAAGACAGTCCGAGAGCCGAGGAGCCGAGGTGGACAGACCCTCAGCTGGGCCTGCTCCTTTCTGCTCCTGGTGCACAGGTCCCTCTCCGTAAGGATGAGAAACCTGGGCCATTGGGACGGCTTCTCCATCCACGTCTTCTACACGGCAGCAAAAGTAGTGGGGCTTGAACTCAGGGCCTGGGTGCTGTCTCTGAGGCTAGGACTCTACCACCTTTGAGCCACAGCACCACTTCCAGTTTTTCAGTTAATTGGAGGAGAGTCTCACGGGGACTTTCTGCCTGGGCTGGTTTCGAACTATGATCCTCAGATCTCAGCCTCCTGAGTACTTATGATTATAGGCATGAGCCACCAGTGTTTGGCTTCAAACGTAATTTTAATGCATTTTTTTTCTTGGAAAAGATAGGTAGTTTGCAAAATGGTAGGAAAAAGGGCAGTTTTGAATCATCACTAAACTGTGAATTAGCATAAGAGTCCCTGAATGTGTTAATGTGTTATGTGAGATTCTCTAATACCTAGATAAAAATTATATGTCATACTGATTTTTGTTAGGAAAAAAAAAATGAAGTGTCGAGCTTAATAATATTTTAACTGTAAGAGGCTCTTTCTACCCTAACCACTCCTCTATACAACGTGCTCTCGAGGAATGTTCTTGTTCTTAAGGAAAATGGAAGCAGCTAGAATACTTACTTCTGCAAGGGACAGACAGATGCAACTCTGGCTGCCATGAGCATCGGCTCAGGGACCTTAAAGATGTGGCAGCAGAGCACTCTGGTTTAACTCAGAGGTTCCCTTTCACCAGAGGACCAGTCCTGTTTTGCTGGGATTTCCCAGAGCTCCAGAGTCCTATATAGGGTAGCTTCTATATAGTCCTGTATATGAAGCTGGCTTCCTTCCCAGGAACCAACATTGAACCAGCAGTTTGAGAACACAGCCCTATCTCACAACCAGCCTCCCAAGCAAAAGTCCACGCAGCTGGACTGAGTCACACGTTCACTCTGGAGCCAGACATTATGGACAGGGAGATAGCTGGTTCTGACTGGCTTTGTCAGAACCATATGCCCTGCTCTTAAGAGTTGGAAAGTTGGCTCTGGGCCACATCAGCTGCTCATGTGGAAACTGAATTGTTAGAAAGAAGAGGAAAATGAAGGCATCACTATTCTACCCTAGGAATGTTAGCTAGATTTGAGTATGACTTACAGATTGGAAGAGGGGCATGGGGTGCAGACAGGATCACACTCTGTACCTCACATACTGCCTTCTTCTTCTTCCTTGTACTAGGCACCACCTTTAGGGGCAGAATTCAACTTTTCCCTTGAGCAACATCTTTATAGATGCTGATACCGTAGGAATGGGGGAGTGCCTGTATTCCCACACAGGGCTGTTTTCCACTCAGACATTTCACTCCCATGACCCTTTTTACTTGGTACCTACCTCAAACCCGTGCTCACTCTGTAGAACAGGAAGTCACCTTCGCCACAGGAAGCACCCTGCACAGTCTAGGCTGCAGTCTTCCTGCCTTGCTCCTTTCCTGGAGTTGCTCTTTCTCCAGAATCAGGCAGTAAATCTCTAACTTCCTTAGGCATCCCTGATATCTTCCTCACTTACGGTGGGATTACACATTTCTATTCTCTACCATTATTTCAGTGGAATCTCAGAGGAGATAAACACACAGCCATTTAGTCATCTTAATCTGCATGTCACTAATTCATTTCACCAAAGTTGTCTCTTGTGACTGACTTAAATAAATTCATGTTGAGGTTTGTGTAGTACTTTAACAGCTCCTGCCACACAGACATGGTTTCAGAGATGTCCAAGAGCTGGGTGAGGGGACAGAATCTGTGAGTAGACCGAGCAGAAGTTGCTGGGGAGGGAGGAGAAAATAGGGAAGAATGAACTTATATACACACATGGTTTCAGGAAATCTCCAAGACCAGCACACAGAAGAGAGTTCTCACAATACTTGCTTACCACTGTAAATCACTTTCCCCTCCATTAACACGCTTCCTTCTCTGTAGAGAAGAGAGGTTCTATGGTTAGTAGCAGTCAAAGGTTTTAGGGTTGCAAGCAACTGAAACTAAGGCAAAAATGTGTGTGGCAGGGAATTTGACAACTAGCAGAATATAGACCTCACCAAAGAATTACTGCAATCTCCATCTATAGAAAAGGGTCAGGAATCTGTGTCTGGCACCAAGACCTGGTGGGCCACAGGCCCTTGAACTCCATGCAGGATGCCTCGTTCTGGGCAACAGGAGAGGACTTAATGAGCAAGGCCTTAAGAAATGACTTGACCTGATTCTTTCCCAAGTCAAAAATAACCCCAACCCCATGCTCCACCCCCTCCCATGGGCCCCCACTCAAGCTGAATGAAGACTGCCGTGAGACATTTTTTTTGTTCTCTGAATGTCCTCCAATCCACCAATGAACCAGGCAGAGTGATCCCTTTATTGGAGCAATTCTCCCTTGGCTGTGGGTTGATGTCACTCTCATGAGGTGGGCAGGGGGACGATGGCCCAGTGCACTGGGCAAGGGGTGGAGGTGTGTGTGGGGAATGTTCCCTTCCCCTGGTGGCCAATCCCCACGCCCAATCCTCCTGTCATGGAGCCACAAGTGCCGACACGTCTAAGCCGGTTCTGGCAATCAAGAAGCCCAGCACTGCTGCATATGAAACTTTAATGTGAAATTCTGTTAAATGTTTTAGATGGCCCTCGGCCGCAGCCCCAGGGCCCTGCCAGTGGGGCCCGCCCCCCTCAGCACTTGCTGTAGATGGCCGCGCTGCCCCGCTCCTCGAACTCTTCCTTGCTGACCCAGAGCTGCTGGAAGGCCTGCAGCGAGGCCAGGATGGAGCCGCCGGTCCACACGGAGGTCTTCCTCTCGGGAGCCGCCACCACGGTGGGGCTGTCCTCGGGGCAGAGGCGGCTCAGCTCCCGCTGGAAGCGCTCGGGGAAGCCGTCCAGCATGGTGCAGCCGCCGCACAGCAGCACGCTGGCGGCCATCTCCTCCTTGAAGCCGGTGTCCTGGCAGCGGGCCAGGCAGGCGGCCGTGAGCTCGGGGAGGCTGGGCTGGTTGCAGCCCGCCAGGGAGGGCTTGAAGAGCATCTCCGAGCAGCGGAAGCGCTCCTGGCCGATGGTGATGACCTTGCCGTCCGGGAGCTCGTAGTCCACGCGCAGCTCCTCCAGGCCCAGGCCCTGCTCCTCCTCAGGCAGCAGCGCGGCGTAGCAGCACTTCTTCTTGATGTGCTCGATGATGTGCAGGTGGTCGTCCGTGAACTTCTGGCCGGCCTCGTTGAGCAGCTGCAGCAGGTAGTTGGTGAGGTCGCCGCCCGCGTAGGTGGCGCGGCCCGCCAGGCCCGGCAGCACGTCGCCCTCGGAGATGGGCACCACGTGCGAGACGCCGTGGCCGCTCTCCACCACCAGCCCCGAGGTCTTGCCGTACGAGTAGATGGACAGCAGCGCCTGCGAGGTCACGTGCATGGCGGGCACGCGGAAGGTCTCGAACATGAGCTCGGCGTACTTCTCGCGGTTGCCCGCGGGGCTGAGCGGGGGGTCGGACACCAGCACGGCGTGCTCCTCGGGCAGGATCTTCATGGCCGTGTGGAAGATGTACTCCCAGATGTCCTGCACACAGTCCCAGTCCACCACCACGCCGTGCTTCAGCGGGTTCACCAGCTTCAGCGACGCCTCCATGTTGAGCAGCTCGTGGCCCACGTAGGTCTCCTTGCGGGTGTCGCCCGCGTCGGCCGCCAGCTCCGGGCTGCGCTTGCCCACGGTGGAGGAGATGAAGTAGGTGGGCCTCGGCTCGCCCGCGTAGCCGCACTTGCAGTACTGGGAGCCCAGGTCAATGATGAGCGCCTTGATCTTCCGGACTTTCTTGGGCTTCCCCTTGAGCGGGGAGGTGGAAATCGCGTCGCGGGCGCCGGTCTCGGGCCCCGGCCCTGCGCCCGCCTCTCCGGGGTCGCCCTGCGCCGCGCCCAGGGGAACGGGGCTGGGGCTGTTTCGGGTCGCCATCTGCCTTCCTCTCTCACCTGTCTCAGGTCTGCCTCCGGAAGCTCCGTGGGGAGAAGTGGGGGTCCACCTCCAGCTGCGCCTTGGCAACCACTTAGAATTGTGACGCTGACGTTACGGGGCTGGCCCATCCAGAGAGGGGTGGCCCAATCCCCCCCCCCATACCCCTTAATTGACTTGTTCTAGGAGCGCCAGCTGGCTTAGAAATCCAAGCACTCGAGGTCTTAGAGGTTTTACCTCCTACCTCCTGCCTTGTTCACGGACCGCACTCCCCTGCTGCTCATGTTTGAGCTGCTATAATAAATTAGGTGCCCTACCAGCCACCTAAAGTATTTTGCAGAATCCTGGAAGTAGGCAGGGCTAAGGATCAGAATCCAAATGACTTGTCCAAGAGGAAACGGCTCTTAACAGTGATTACTCATCCAACTCCAGCACACCAAAGCTTCCTTAGAGGTTGAGGGACCTAAGCATACTTTCCTCCCATTGTGGCTGTTTCCAGCAGTTACGAAGCTCATGAACCTTTGGCCTTCTTCTTCTCTCATATTCCACAAGGCCAGGAGCACTGCCCTCCTTAAAGGAGGAAGTAGTCAATGTAGCAAAAGCCTCTAATGAAGAGAACAGGGCTGGGGTGAAGTATAAGGTGCCGGCACAGCTAAAGGCAGAATTCTGGAATAAGGCAGGTCTTGGCACTGATGTGTTTGACCTTAGCCCACAGTGGTTGTCCTGACAGTGGGCTAACCAGGCCCCCTCTGCATATTAGGTCTCACCAAGGTGAGAGTTCACATATACCAAAGAGGAAACCACCAAGATAGGAGGGGTGCCCACTCTGGCTGAATATTCTTGGAGGAGCCAATGTTCTTATTAGTAGGACTCAAGGGTTCACTGCCTACACTGTAACTGATGAAAAGCACAAATGTATGTCCAAAAATTATTTCTCTTCCATAGCTATCCCAGCTATACCAGGAAGCTTTTTCTTAAGGAGGGTCATGAACAAATCTATCACTGCCTCCCAAGTAACTAGGATTACAGGCCTCAGTCACCTAGTCGGCCAAGGCTGATTTTGGTAGTTTCTTTCTTATTGCTATAGTCTAACCTACCTTGCACATCATGACATTCGATAAGTATTAATCCAATGAGTGCATCACTTTTATTACCAACAACAACAAAAAAGACCTACTACAAAAAGTAATGTCCAAAGATTCTCAGTACCTAGAAAGGCCCAGGTTACTGGCTTCTGTCACAATCAGTGATGTCATTGTTGGGAAAATTCTCTTACTCTCTTCTGATATAGGCCTTTCAAGGCCTTGAAGCCAGTGGGACTGAGGAACTTTCTGGGAGCAGTATGGCTCTTGAAAGTATATGGGCTCCACAGACAGTAAGCATAGGGGATGGACCTGCCAAGAAGGTGGGTGAACAGGCCTCTTTACAGACGCAGCTCCTCCAGACTGCATCTGTGAAGGAAGGCCCTGCGAAGCGGGCAGTGTGGGTTCGCCGAAGCAGTTCTGAGTCACAGGAAGCTATGCAATCAACATCTAAGGACAAGGGCAAAATAGAGGTGACCAAAGCAGTGGTAGTGGACCTTGGCACTGGCTACTGTAAATGTGGCTTTGCTGGCCTACCCAAGCCCACTCACAAGATCTCAACAACAGTGGGCAAGCCCTACATGGAGACTGCCAAGACTGGGGATAATCGCAAGGAGACGTTTGTGGGGCAGGAACTCCTCAATCCAGAAGTTCGTCTCAAGCTGATTAATCCTCTGAGACATGGCATCATTGTGGACTGGGATACAGTGCAGGACATCTGGGAATATCTCTTCCAACAAGAAATGAAGATCGCCTCAGAAGAGCATGCAGTCTTGGTTTCAGATCCTCCCCTGAGTCCCCACACCAACCGAGAGAAGTACGCTGAGATGCTGTTTGAAACTTTCAACACACCTGCAATGCATATCGCCTACCAGTCCCGCCTGTCCATGTACTCCTATGGGAGAACCTCAGGCCTGGTGGTGGAGGTCGGCCACGGAGTCTCCTATGTAGTCCCAATCTATGAGGGCTACCCTTTGCCCAGCATCACTGGAAGGCTGGATTATGCAGGCTATGACTTGACAGCCTACCTCAAGAACCTGATGAATGACACAGGAAAACAATTTACCGAGGAACAGATGAATATTGTGGAGGACATCAAGAAGAAATGCTGCTTTGTGGCCCTAGACCCTATTGAAGAGAAGAAGGTAGCACGCACTGATCATGAAATTCAGTATACTCTACCTGATGGGAAAGAGATCCACCTGGGCCAAGAGAGGTTCCTTTGCTCAGAAATGTTCTTTAAGCCATCTCTGATCAAGTCTATGCAACTGGGGCTCCACACCCAGACTGTGTCCTGCCTGAACAAGTGTGACATCGCCCTCAAACGAGACCTCATGGGGAACATCCTGCTCTGCGGGGGTAGCACTATGCTCAGTGGTTTCCCTAACCGCCTGCAGAAGGAGCTGAGCAGCATGTGCCCCAATGACAACCCACAGGTAAATGTGTTGCCGGAGAGAGACACTGCAGTGTGGACTGGGGGCTCTATCCTGGCCTCACTTCAGGGTTTCCAACCACTGTGGGTCCACCGCTTCGAATATGAGGAACATGGGCCTTTCTTCCTTTACAGAAGGTGCTTCTGAACTGAATAGATAGAGCCACTGTGGCAGTGTGCTTGCCACCCTGGAGAGCACCTATTCCACACACAGGGAGCTGATCTGATACATACTTTCCTATAGCATTAAACACCCCTCATGTTCCCTCCTCAGTGTGTCTATTTCCTAACTTATGCAGCCTCTTTTAAATTAGCATTTGCTAAAAGTGGAGAGGTGGTGGTGGGGAGGATGAACCACACTTAATTTGGGGAGAGACCTCCCCTAAAATTACCGTCCTTTATTGTATGCATTCCCCTTTAGGAACTACTTTATTACAACAGCTTGGAAAGGAAATGCAGACTAGGCTAAGTGCTGCAGGGATAAGCTTCCTTTCCACAAACACCAACGGGAAGAAAGTTCAACACACAAAGCTGCAGGTCACACTTCCTACCTCACCAGCCATTCTGACAGCCTGGACATTGTTAATGAAGAGGTCTGACTTCTAACTGTGCCTTTTCCTAACTCCCAGTCACTTATATCGCAATAGCAATTCTTCTTAAGCCATCATGGTGAATGGAAGACAAAGAGTATCATGTCATAAGCAAGGTACTTACAGAGGTAGCTCCTCCTCAGAGAATGAGAATTTATACAGATTTCTCCTTTCATATCAGGTAAACTTCTTTTTGAAGTGAACAAAGTTCATTCCTGCTCCATGAGACAGTAATTGACAGTTGTCTGCATGATGCAAACAAATTAATTCTTACTGCTATAACTCACTACTTTAAGGAAACTGAAAATCCATGAAAATCCACACCATTATTAAGACACGTTTACTTCTACATCCAGTCCTTCAGCCTGAGTTCCTTTCCTATTAAAATACACTACAGCAAATGAAAACAATGCTCTGAAGTTATTATATTCACTTATCCTTGCCAAGTCTTTATAGCCTTTCAGAAGTTGAGCATCTAAGTACTGCAAATCTATTATGGGCATGAATTCAAAAGCAGACTTCTCCCAAGGTACAATACACATCTTTTTTCTATTCCTGTTGTGTGAAAACTTTCAAATTACACATAGCGAATAGCCCTATACTCTATACCTAACTTTTTACTAGCCAGGTACAGGGGCTTCCTCCTGAAATTCTATCTACTCAGGTGGCAGACATGGGAGAATTGTGGTTTGAAGCTAGCCTGGGGAAAAGTAGGCCAGGCATGGTGGTACATATGGTCATCCCTGCTAAACTAAAGAGGCATATGCAGGAAGAACACAGTCTGAAGCTGGCCCCAGGAAAAAAAATCTAAGACCCCATTGGAAAAATAACTAAAAAAAAAGCTGCGGATATGACAAGTGGTAAAGCTCTGTGTTCAAACCAAAGTACTACTATTCCAAACCAAATCAATCAACTAACAAAAACAACCAGCAAAAAGAATTAAAAAATTAACTATAGTAATAGTTAATTTTATTTCAGGTAACACTACTCTATAGTATATATACTGTACACTCTGAGGATCAAAAGCACCATTTCCTTAGCAAACAGCAATTAAGGTTCTGATATTAAAAGTCTGGGAGAAATTTAACTTTACCCAAGGATCAGCCACAGAATTCTTGTCAAAATAAACTGAGCTTTTTCTAGACTTGCCAAAAAGGAGAAAACATTCTCAATTTTTCCAAAGAAAATAACAAAGTTCTTTTGGAAACTGAATGAAACAGAGGTCAGAAAGAAAACAGGGGTCAGAAAGAAAAGTAAATTAGATAGCCTAGACACAGATGAAAACATTTTGTTTAAAGCAGAATTTGTAGAACAAAGCATTCCAACCATGCACACCATATACCCCTCACTGCTTACCAAGCTCTGAAATTCTAACCTGTTCTAAGACTGCTGAATCTCTAGCAATAAATAGTCTCTATAATAATGGTTTAACTATAGGAAGGGAAGCTCAACCCAAGTAAATGGGAAGAACATGACCTAGTAACATGAAACATCTTTTTATTCTACTTTAAAGTGAACAAAATCAGTTAAATGATTGTCTTGCTAAATTTTGTTAGCTGTTTACAAATGCTCTATTTTAGCAACTTAAAACTACTCAGAAACATTATGTTACACTGGGCCTTATATAATCAATCCCTGCACTTGGGAGGCTGAGGCCTACACAGTGAGATCCTATCTCAAAAACAAAAGCCAAACAAACAAAAAGTCCAAAACATTATTTTACTTGTCTTCGTATTTTTGAGGTAGACGCCATGAAATACCATTCCCCATTAACAAGAACTGAGGTACTAGTCATTACGTGATTTGCCAAGGCTGCAGTACAAATCAGATCTGTAACTGGGAATGAGACCTATCTCATGATTACCATAAATAATCATGCTCTTAAACAGCACTAAATACAAGAGCAATTCTTAAAAAAAAAAATATGACATACTGGCTGAAACTTTTACTAAAAGTTTTGCTAGTGATTACTATGTACACTCAAATTAAAAAAAGAGAACTGCTCTATGCTGAGATCTGGTGCAGATAGCAACTCTCGGCACTGTACTTCCTACCACTGTACTTCCCAGGTCTCAATGCTGGGCGTCTAGAGGAGCAAGGAAGAGCTGGCTGGAGGGAAATGGAATAAGTGGGAACTTGTCTCTGTTGGTGCCTTCCTAACTGGGGTAGATCACTCTAGTAGGCTCAGTTTCCACTGATTTCTTCTGTCAATCTTTGGTGGTATAAAAATCTCAGCATCTGTAAAGGAAGAAAAGAGTTATAGTCAAACCTACTCAGGCTGGGAGGAGCTGAGGTGGTAATTCTATGTCAAACTAGGTGATTAGGTTTTACAGCTCCAAGACAAACATCATGGCCACTGTTCTTGAATCTCCAGTCAGTGTAAACACAGCCAAACATAGCCTAGTGGCCCTGACCTGAGGAAAATGTCCATACTTAACTTTAGGCAAGTGATTCAAAGTAGAAGCTTCTGCATTTTATGAGAGGAGGTGATTACACAGCTGTAGTACAGATTTATTAAAAGTTAAATTATAAACCTAAGATCTGTGAGGTTTATCATATGTAACACCTGTTTCCAGTTAATAATAGTAAACAAAGTAGAATGTACATAGCAGGACAAGTCCATGGACAGAGTTAAGTACTTGATGATAATAAATAAATAAATATACCCTTGCTTCCTAGCTACTCATGAGGTAAAGATTGAAGGACTGAGATTCAAGGCCAATTTGGGCAGACAGTTAGCAAGATCCCAAATTAGTCAGTAAAAAGGTGGGCACGTGCAGGTCATCCCAGTTTTCCAGGATGCAGAAACAGTGGTGTAGCCTGGATGGAACCATCTCAAAAAAGCTGGAAGTGTGGGTGGCGAAGGGTGGTTCACTAGCAAGTGTGAGACATTGAGTTCCAACTCTAATGCCCAAAACAAAAGCCCTATTTTAAAAAGTGAGCTTTTTTTTGGGGGGGGGGGAAACTGTAAACTAAAACTTTCAAACACTCTTGCAGAGAGATTTGTGGAGCTTCTTATCTAATTAGGAACCAGACAGGAAACAAGAGCTGTGCAAAATAATGCACACAAGGATAATATTCTTTCTTCAAATTTATGATTAAATTCCAGCAGAACACCTATACATACCAGATATCAACATATGTATTCAAGGAATATTTAACAATATAAGAAAATGCTTGCTGGGCACCAGTAGCTCATGCCTGTAATCCTAGCTATTCAGGAGGCTGAGATCTGAGGATCACGGTTCAAAGCAACCCCGGGCAGGAAAGTCAGTGAGACTCTTATCTCCAATAAACCACCAGAAAACCAGAAGTGGCACTGTGGCTCAAGTGGTAGAGCACTCACCTTGAGCTGAAGAGCTCAAAGACAGTACCCAGGCCCAGAGTTCAAGTCTCATGACTGACAGAAAAAAAAAAAGCTCAAGATAAAGATGTTAAAATAATCATGGTTTTCTCAATTTAGATAAACATATCCTATGACTAAAAACGGTGAAATTTTGGTAGGTCGACATATTTTATAATTCAGACTCTCCACTACTGTGGAGTTCTGTACTTACACATAATACTTAACTACCAGTCAACTCCACCTGACAAGCAAAAGCCCACCAGAGCTTTCAGTTATATAACAATATTCATACTTATTCACAGGTAAATTGCCAACCAGATCCATAATTTCACAGTGAATGAAGTTTGAGTCTATTTTAAGAAATGTTATAAAAATGAAACAAGTCTAGACTTAACTAAGAATAAATACCAAGTGCTGGCTTTCCAGAAGGGATGGATTCTGACAAACTGTGTGACAGCAGGATGTGAGCGCTTTCACATTTCCCTGTTTGAATTTCATGGTACAAAAAGTCAGTTTACAAAAATACTTATAAAAACTTCAATTTTTCCAAAGACCTCAGTCCTTTTTATAGTCAAATTGTTCTCACTTGAACCACTTATTTTAAAAAATGTAATAAAACAAATCCAACTCAAGCTATGATGCAAGCCTTTTTCTAATATCACTTAATCTAATCCACTTAATGAAGCAATTGAAGAAAATGATCCATCAAAAGTTGCTAATACTACTCTGGGGTAAGGGGAGAACAAATGACACTATCCAAGGCAGCTAAGGAAGACTTGAGGAGGACTGATTTTGTGAGTAGCTTATCAACTACTATAGTTGTAAGAACCTCCCTTTTCTTACACAACCTTGCAACCACAGTACACTGATAACCAATACTCAGAAGAGAAGCTGTCAGTATCTTAGTATTTATGGCTCAGTAGGAAGCAGAAGTACTCTTTGAAGTGGGAAAGCTGACTAGAACACCCAGGGATTGTGTGACTGAGCCTGTCCTCAAGACTATCATCAGGTCAGCAGCAAAGGGTAGGACAAAATAAATAATTGCCAAATGGCCTCAGATCTAAAGTTAATTTTTAGCATCTCAGAAATAAGTGTATGTGTTGAATTCTCACCAAAAAGCAGGTTGCCAGACTCCAGAAGAGAAGGAAACTAAGACACTAGTAGTTACTGTACAGATGCAGTTTAGTTGAGGTGAAGGCAGGCAAAACATGCTAGTAGACAATTTTAATCCCCAGGGGTTACTCCAAATGTCATCTAAATGCTACCATAGCACAGCATTTAAATAAAAAAAAATTAAAAGTGTTACATGATGAAAAAAGCATTGAAAGATGAAAATAAGAGCATTAAAAGAAGGCCAATTAATTAGCCAGGCGTCGGTGGCTCACGCCTGTAATCCTAGCTACTCAGGAGGCTGAGATCTGAGCATGAAGGTTCAAAGCCAGTCTGGGCAGGAAAGTCCGTGAGACTCTTATCTCGAATAAAACCACTAGAAAACCGGAAGTGGCACTGTGGCTCAAGCAGTACAGCACTTGCCTTGAGCTGAAGAGCTGAGGGACAGCACCCAGGGCCAGAATTCAAGCCCAACGACCGGGAAAAAAAAGAAGGCCAATTATTTTAGAACACACCATGATTTTTTAAAACCAAGAAAGACTGGGATGTTTGAGTAATCTACCTGAAAAGCAAATATGCAAGTGACAAATCTATCTGTTACAATTTTCTAGCCAACTTTTAAAATAAAGCTTTATGGGCCTGCAATGTCTAGTAATAAGTATTTATGTGAGAACCATCTCTTCCCAGCGAACAAAATATTTGAGGTATAACAGAAAGATAAAATATTAACTTTTTTGGACTTGTTTTAAAATTGTATTATCAATCATACCAGTAATAAAACGGCCCAGTTCTTCTAGTTCTTAGAAAAATCATGAAAATGTCTCTAAGATGTAATGTGCATCTATAAAACCAAAAATTGATGGTTCAGAACAATTTTTCAAATGTGTATGTATATAGAGACAGTTTGAACTCAACTATGATGTATATGACAAGTGTATGTCAATGTCACTAAAAAATGTTATTAAATTATATATTTAATGTTATATTGGATTCTTGCCCCCACCAGGACACTACTAGTAGAGATTTAAATTGATCTATTAAGGATGTAATCTCAAAGTTGAGGAGGAATCATAGTCAATATCCAGTATCTCCTTGTACAGCTGATCTCAACAGCTACCTAATACCCCGATAGAAAAGGAATACTAACCAAGAACAGGAACTGAAGTCTTCTGCTGTTGATAAGAGGCCATGATGCTGTTTGCAGTAGAATTTGGACCTAGAACCTAAACAGAAAATAGACTAGATCACCAAAGATTATCTTAACACTTCTGATGATTTAAAAACCAAAAGCCAAACTTCTACCAGCAGTAAGCAGCCTGATATTTTCTTTAGTATGGTATCAACGTGGTAATTGTCATTTCATATGTGAGCTTACTTAGCTCCACTTTCAATTCAAATCTCTTAAGTCATTTTTCTCTCAGAAGAACAAGGTAATGATGGAGGCAAGGTAAAGTAGTGCTCTACAATAGCATATAATTTACCTTTTACAAATAAGCAAGTCATATTCTAATGAGGGGAAAAAATACAAGAGACTATAGAACATGAGTTATCTACTATACTCAAAAACTTGTGGGAAACATTTTTTTTGTATTAAAAGGTAAGCATCTTACATGTGTAACCCAAACTCTGCACAAGACTTCACAGAAATCCATGCCTGCAGCAAGCCTCCAGGCAAACAGATGGTAGACACCAGCCCTCTGATTTGTCCTCATTCATCTCTACATACATTACTTAGCAGCATATTCTCAGGAGTAATGCCATGAGCTCAACAGCATTTCAAGTGACTCATGGTATCCTGAACATCCACTCCCATACATCATGAAGCAAAACGGGGCAGCCAAGTACTGGTGGCTCATTCCTGTAATCCTAGCTACTCAGGAGTCTGAGATCTGAGGATCACTGCTCAAAGCCAGCCTGTGCAGGAAAGTGTGAGACCCTTCTATGCATAAAAACTATTAAAAAAAAAACCCAGAAGTGGAGCTGTGGCTCAAGTGGTAGAATGCTAGCCTTGAGAGAGAGAATCTCAGGGACAGTGCCCAAGCCCTGCATTCAAGCCCCAGGACGAGCACTAAAAAAATTTTAAAAATTCCTTATCATTTTCCCTGCAAGATTTATGTAGCTCATGCCTTAGAATCAAATGATGTCTGAGCAGACAAAGGGATCAGACATTCAAAACTGTTCATCTAAATCATCA